GTAAATCGGAAGCATGAAGTAGCCCCCACCCTCGCTGTTCACTCAAGTCTCATAGAACCCTCCTGATACCTGAATGAAGAGCTCCTCAGATGCAACAGGTGACAGTGGAGACAGATAGGGTTTTAGGGAAGGTGGGTCTTCCAAGGTTCCTCCTTTTGTACCATAAAGAGAACGGCCTTAAAGGCACATACCCCTGTTGGATTGGGAGGTGTTTTTGCGTTCAAAATGGACGAGGTTATGGTAATTGGATCTATTGTAATAAAATAGCAACAAATAACTTCTAAGAAACATCAAGATCACGAGCGCTCTAATCGTATGGGCGGTGTTTGCGCCTCGCTCCCAGGGGTACCTCACTGGTTTAGGCGCAATAACCTAAACTTGCAGCAGAATGTGATTCAAATTATTATGCTAGAGTAACACAACTTTGATCTCATTATGATTCCGTGCACTCTACGAGATAAGCTGACGTGCTGAGTGCACATTGCATTGCGTTCAAACCTTAGGTCCTGCCTTGAATGTACCTGGGTGGCTTCATGAGTACGGTAAACATATCTTCAAAGAGAAAAAAGATAAACTGACAGGTCTCAAAAAGATAACGTACATGTGTGCGACACTATTAATGAACCATGTGGCATGGAGCAAAAAGCAGTAACGGAACAGAGACGCCGTGTAGAAGGCGACCAGCGGCGATTCACCCCAAAATCGTACAGGAATAGCCGCAGGAAGCAGGAAGCAGAGTAGAACCACCAAGAGAAGGATAGTACCTAAACAAAGTGTTTATCATCAGGTTTTGAGAAATTCGAAAAATCAAGTGATTTCGTAGTTAATGCAGCAATCTAAGTTCTTTACTTATACTCCTGATTGTACAGCTCATGTTCATTTTATGCGCGAGAATAACCAAAACCCTTCGTTCCCTTTTCTTGCGATCGCCATATTCGTTTTGAACCGGCAGTCGAAAATGTTTCGGCGAAAAATTCGTCTTTCAGCTCTACTTGCAGCCGTCTTTACTAGTCCAAACCTTTCCTGTTCTCACCGGGATATACTTCGTAGCGCGCGAAATATCATCGGTAATACTATGAACCGTTTGCTACCATCTTGTCAAAACTTTACTGTCACCGTAAAAGGATGAAGAGATTGTGATATGATAGATAGTTCTGTTTTCACTGTTTCTATGGCGATTGCATTCAATAAGGCACATTTGAGATGTCCACGTCAATCTGATGTTCGTTTGCTTTGAAAGCTGAGAAATGAATAAAGTACACTTATTATGAACAGTTTTAGACTTTTTTCTATGAACAATTTAACTTGAAAGAGTCATCTCATGGAATGCCTTCCCCTGCACTTACATTTGAGAGCCAAACCATCTTTCAACAAGGTTGCTTGCTTATTGGTTCTTATAGCCATGGATCTCACTCCTTTCAAACGTAAGAGCTCGCAATGAAGCTGACGATTACAAAACTGATGAAACCCTGCCAACACATCTGATAATGGCGTACATTCTAATAATGTCCATTCAGTGCTCCTTTCTTTGATACTTCATTCGTTTACGGAGAAAGAAGGGAACGACTCGTATGATTGTCTTAAAGGTAAGTTGACAACAATGGCTGGAGAGCATCGCGGTTTTGATGAAATCATTGAAGGTCGTTAGGATGACGTCAGACTTCGCGTCCACGGTCGCGTAGCGGGCAGGGATTGCTCGATTGGCTTGTACCGCAACGTGACCGCGAACGCTAGCGAATCGCTCGATTTCGCGAAGTGTGACATCGGCCTTAGTGGTAGGCTCTTCATCGCGTGGGGAGTGCCGTTGGTACTGCCTCTTCCACCAATGAAGTCATAAAAACCGTAACCCCCCCCCACCAACCACCGTGATTACTGCTGTCGAACACTCTAAGGCACAATGTCATTTGATCATATTCTTATCTTCAGAACGTTTTGATTTTTCTTCTCCTTGATTTTACATAGCACATAAAGTATTAGGTCGGTCCATAAGTCTTGCAACAAACTACATTTAATGCTATAGAATTTTAGGGAGAACTCCTGAAAATCCGCAACATATTTCCTGACGTAGCATCAACCTTTGCAATTTCAGCCAACGGTCCAGCTCGTTGTCTGCTTACTTATTATGGATATTACACCTGATTTTTGTTGTATATCCATAACGAAGTTAGAACATTGCTGAAGAGCTCTCGATGCCCTTAATTTTTACGAGTACTGCTTGGAATGTTCCGCAAGTCATGCTAGACCAAGGATTGGCCAGAAGATAGGCGAGGGCAAGCTCTCTCAAACCACAGTGCAACGGCGCTTCACTCTGCTCAGCGTTGACTTTTTTATTTGAAAATAACCCACACTCCAACCACCCTGTGACTGACAATCACGATGCTATATCTGACGGCGTTGAAAAGGGATCTGGAGAGTATCGATCATTTGCTAGAGCGATTCCGATGCGACAAGGAGACAGCACTGTGGCATCTCCAAAGACTTGTGAAGATCCGAAAATGTAGAGTTTGGTCCCCACGTGCCTTGAGCCCGATTCAGCTCCAAACACGATCTGACACCGTTATGTTCAAGTCGACTTACTAGGGATTCTACGATTGACCATCCATCACATTTGCCGAAGATGAGGAGTGGGTACAGTTTACTAACAAATGAACAAGCGGCGGTAGTCCAGCTCAAACGCTTCGGGAGATCTTATTGCTTAAGTTCAACCTCGTCCAAGTAGGGCCTTCTCGGATTTTTGGTGGAACACGGGAGGAGTTAAGCTCTGGAAACCCCTCCGTGTAGATGTCGCAGTCAACGCGAAAGTCAACTATCCACAGCTCGAATGCAACGCTTTTAATACGAAAGAAAAACAAGGCAAAGTTTGCTTTTGTATGACACCGTTGAAAAACCTCTTGCTAAGAAAATTCAGGAAAATTTCGAGACTCTGGGACGGAGAGTTCTTCCGTATTCACGTTATAGCCCTGACCTCGTGGCAAATAATGCCCTTCTGCTCCCCTCTCCAAACCATCTCCTAGAGAAGAAAGCTCATCCTAACTATGATGATGTCAAAATCGACATCTGATCTTTCTTCGATCAGAATTCAGTAGAGTCCTACAAGGGAGGCATCGAGCAGCTACTAGTGTGTTGGCAATAGGTTGTAGATATAACGGCCGTGCACTGCCGGTGGATTAATGAACATAAAACGCAATAGGATAAATATTAATTCTAAATTCGGTCAGTTTGCAAGACTTATGGACCTACCTTTTATAATAAACTCAATCGCAAATGCTTATACTATAATAGTATGAATTCATCCAAAATTCAATATTTGTATACGAACATATTAGTAGAAAAATAGTCAGCACTCACTTCCGTTGGAACACCAGTACTGGATCGGCAAACAGATCGGATAGGTCGAGTTTCTTGCCTTGCTCTTTGATCTGAAATCCAAGAATAATTACGTGGTCGAATATACTAGCTTTTCTTGAACACAATCTAAAGGCTTTGAGAATATGTGAGTTCTCTAAGACTGTTTTTTTTTTCATTCAGCTCTCTAGTTAGCCTCTCATTTTCGCGAACAGCCTTGTTGAGCTGATGGCTGTGGTTCAGCTTAGATGCCTCTCTCCTTCTATTTCTTTGGCCCGATCCATTTGGCATAATAATTGCCATTTAATTATATATGTATCAAAGATAACCTGAGGGTGTTTCTTGACCAGTAGCCATCCCATGTGAGAGAAGAAGAAGCCTCGATTGGTGTTATGGGGATCGGCGTGTGTGTCCGTCCACTTATGGTGCATCTATGATCGCGAGCCCATTCAATGATATCATTGCTGAAACGAACACGCCATCTTCATATACATAGAAAGTTTTTTTCGTTCAAATATTTTCTACATTTAAAGGATGAACGTGTTCAAGATGGCGAGCCGATGTGTAGCCACCGATCGCTATCAATTACCCCCATGTAGGTGTGCACTCAGTTCCAATACTTCCGATTTCTTGAGTTTAGTATCTCTCACCACTTCGTTGATAGAATAAACAGAACTATGCCAGACTATCGCCTATGTGGATGAAAATTCCATGAAAAAAGAGCTTCTTTTTGCCTCATTGGGGCTGTAGTACTCAATAGTGCCTCAATGAGGTAAACGAAATGAAGGAAGAATATTATGAGTTTGTCTCAAACCTGGAATGCAGTGGTGTCCATAAGCATCAGCATGATACGGTAGGGTAAGTTTGCCTTGTAGGCCCGCGATGACGCGATAGTCGACTGGGCACTCCGCTGTGACACCGATGCGCTCTACAATTCCACATGCCAGGAAGAACGCGAAGGCTACCCCAGCTTACATAAGGGCAATTGCATGGAAAGAAAATTACTTGAGACTTCGTACCACCTCAGCGAATTTCCCGCTCCTCTGGGAGATCTTCATTCACAGTAATATAATCGTCGTCTCCATCAGGTGAAAAGACGTTCCAATAAAAAGTATTAGTTAATTTTTGATTGATTTAATCGAAAATTCTGCACTGCGTCCCATAATTATAACTCCACCTCAAGAATCTTCCAAAATCTCACGAATTTCAATGTTTTAGAACAGTCTCCAATGTGGCAGTGTGTTAAATACAAGTACGAAATTGCTTATAAATATCAACCTTCCAAATCTCAGGGCCATTTTTTCTAATAATTTTTGTTCAAAAGGCCACTTAGCCGACGTCCCAAAATTATAACTCCACCTCATGTTTTTCTATTATTTTTCACTTCCGTTTCGCCAAACTTTTTTATTGTGCTAACATCCTACTTCTCAAGGGGACAGTATGATAGAAAATGCTGTCTGACTTTTTAAAAGGTCAGGTCGTCGCAAAAACTACTAATTAGGCAATCGCACAAGATTTTGACAAATTCACGAGGAGCTCGAGACTTTTTCAGGGATTTTACATAGAATGAATAAAGATAAGAATAAAATATTAAGATAGATAATCAACAAGTAAATATATATATAATTATCCAAGTATGCCCTTGGATATCGATTTTTGAAGATGCTGAGAAAAATCGAGCTGAGATGAAGAGTTATAATTATGGGACGCAGTGTATAATGTCATCGCCTTTCTTTATCTGCTATAAAAAATGTGTTTGAACCCACCATGTCATTCATCAGCATCATATGTTTCCTACCAAGAATTTAATTCCGATGTTTGCCCCATCCTATAGATAAGGATAGGATAAAGATAAAGCATTTGCCGTTGATCAATCCCTTTTGGGATGCGGCACGCATTCTACTTCCATTTGTACATTCGTAGTGGCGTTTGAATGCGATGTGGCCTATACAATGACTTGGGGGCCAGCCGATGTACAAGTCAGTGTTTTTATCCTCCCAGACAAGTCTGGTACCAATTAACCGACCCGGAAGGGATGGAAAGGCTTGGTTGGCCCGACGACCGTCACCGACCGCCAGGAGATTCGATCCCGACCAGCGCGTGATAAAGGCGTGCCACCTGCCACTACAGCGCCACCTGCGTACAGTTGAATGGTACATCGTCGGTCTATTGTGGGATCTAATCGGGTTTACCTAATTCTTCGAGTATCGTACTAAAGGGGCATTATCCGACTTGCTTTGAATAGCTCGTCTTGACGAGTAAGGCTTGCTGATTTTCTGTTAATACAGGGTGCGCCAAAATTACGGAGACAGCACTTCCGCGCACTATTGGGACCACTATTCAAAGATGCTGTTTACTGCTGCGCTCATTTTGGTTTAGTTGTGTTGACCTGTTCATAATTATCTTGTTTGACCACCAATATGTATGATTGTTACGATGGCTGAATGATTCTGCCGCTATTTCTAGATCACTGAACTTCAACTTTGAGAGTTTGCGGCACGCAAGAATTATCAGCGTTTTGGTTTTTATTAGCGTTTTGGTTTTTCCCCTGTGCCCCCAATGGCATGGCCCTCGCCACTAAACGCTCCAAGGAGTAAGGAACCGAATGCACTCATTCTGGATGGGAAGGCTGTGTTTCCGAGACGGCCACGAGCAATGTCAGCATGGTGCGCAACAGAATTTGGTGGCACTTCGCGCACTCGTTCCGCCGAATGTCACGAGAGATGGACATTAAGGAGATTACTTGAGAATTCCCAAGCAAATTGCCATCTTAAGATTTAAAAAACATTGTTTGATCTTTCATAAGGAAGGGATTTCCATAGGGCAAGGGTGGTGCTGAAGTCAGAGCCAATTTTGTCGAATTCATCACTTTCAACGAGTTGGTCAGCATTTCAGATTCTATATAAATGGCTTACACTGTAGAATTGATTCTGCAAGCTGAAACTTGCACGGAACTTTACATTTTTGGGGATTATTTTGAAGAATTGCTTCAGAATACGTAGAACGGATTCTACGCACTACCTTGCGTGCCACCGCCGATGGTTCCTCACTGCTTCTCAAGGCCCGTATAAGTGCCAACGAAGGAATTTCTGAGATTTGGCAGATGTTTACGATTCATTATTGAACAGTGAACGTTACTGCATTTTTGGCTTCCTGGAATTGTGGCGTGTTCATTCTAGGCGACTCGAAATCGCTGTCTCCGTAATTTTGGTGGCGCACCCTGTAATACCACCAGGTTTCGTTTGTTACGGCTCTATAATGTAGATGCAGCATGGGATTTTGTTTACGAAAAAGCAGGTCTCCAAGGTCCTTCCCGGCTACGCGAGGGAATAGCAATCTTTACAAAACCTTACTTTCAAAAGTGTATAATTTCCGTAATGTTGAAACAAAACATCAAGAATTGTGCTATTCCTTCTGTATTCGGGCACAAAAACAAGTTCGGGAAACAGTTCTCAAAATATTTTTTTTCAGGCTTCAGGAGTAGCCTAATCCAAAGCTATTTATAGGAATTTTGTAAAATGTTCAGCGGGGCTACTTGGAAAAGTCCAAAAGTATGCAAGTAAAAATGCGTGGGATGAGCTCTTTGGTATAAGTTTATACGAGAATGTGCTACGTCATTTTTTTCCTCAACAAAAGGATTGCGCGTCGGTGGAGAAAACTGGAGACGCCCATTACTATTGGTTTTCCGTCGCCGCACGTGACAGACCATAAAATCGTTCTGACCGGACTGTAAACGACCGAAAACCGTCACGGTAACTCGATCCTCTCGCCATCATCTCAGCATCTCTGAGCATTTCGTGATGAAGTGACAGCACAGAATTCTGTCCAAGAGCCGGGTATGGGTCCCTAGGAGAACGCTAGTTTTTCGCTTTTCACAGAGCGAAGCTTTTTCCGGTGCGGGAACCCCAGGTCCAACCCAATCATCAGTGGACCAGGACTTTTTGCAGCGAAAAAGCTTGGCGCTGCGTATAGCGAAAAAGTCGGGCTCTGACCTCACGACTCAACCTTCAGCTAGCTCCCTGACTTCACTACAAAGCAGTTGCAAAAGTCTGCTCCTTGCCTCGTTGCCCAGTTATTCCTGCGTTGCCTACTGTTGCCAAAATACAGTGTAGCAAATTCTTCCGCTAATACGATATCAAATGCCCCGTTCCCTGCAAAAAAAGGACGCGATAAGGAAACAGCAGAATAGAGTAGAACAATGTCTGGTGATATCGTCGCACCGTCGTCAGACAGCGATAAGGCTACACACCGTATAGCCAAAAAGTACGCGGATTCTAACAATATCGCACGTGCCTTCCATTCAGCAATTTTTGTGTGGTACACTCCACCATTGCTTTATCGCTTCAAATCATCGTGGGCTTGAAATCAGGTGATAGAGAACGGTTCATAGTTGGTAACGCGGGTTGACCCTCAATTAGTCATTTGAGAACTGGTAAATTTAGCCATAAGTTAAGCCTAATCCTGCTTAGCTAGCGCACTAGCATAGAGGCGCTCCTGAAGAAGCCAAATTTTTTAGGCCAAACAGCTAGCCATACTTTGCTGGTCGGCCAGCTGGTGTAGGGCTAAAGGAGAGTTTCTTCAAAACACTGACTGGAACTTCAGCCGGGGTGAACCCTAACGTGGGTCTTTTCCGAAAATTTGACCCCCCCATCTCTCCTGGGGGCGGGGGGCGGGCGATTTCGATACCTCCCCCCCCCCTGCCTGGTGCGTTTTCGATACTCCCCCCCCCACCACCCATACCCTCAGAAGGTCCAACTATAGTCCTTTTTCTCTACTGTTGACGGCACCCACACAGCCTCACCACCACGTGCTGTTTCCACTGTTTCTATACGTATTTTACTCGACAGTTCGACCACGCTCTAAACTACACTTCCCACCCAGCCAGAACTGTTCTGAAGTGAAGATGGGTGTTTGGGGGGGGTAGGCGTGGGGGGGGTGTGATACTGGCTACTGAATCTAAAAAAACCACTCCTCTTAACTTAAATTATTCCTCATCCTCTATTTGTGAAAGTTATTGCCACAATTCCTGAAATTTCCCGACAAAGTGTTCAACACAATTCGCTTACGATACGGCCTCTAGTGAAATCTGCAAAATAACGACCCGCTTCGTTGTTTTGAACAACACCAACAGCTGACGCTGACTTTAGCAATTCTTAAATATTGTTGATTGTGATTGATGGGTTGTGAAGGACCCATTCAAATGTTCTGCGGCTCTAAAAACGCTATAGTCGATGTGTTAGCACATTCCACTAACAGTACCTGAGGCTGGTTGTCCCTAATCTTGTCATGCTAACCTATGTTATCATTGGCTATTCTACGTCTCTTCCTTAAACTTCTAAGAAGGCAAAATAGCAAAACTAGGCGGATCGAACTAACCTTTATAAATCCAACTTGTACTGGTCTACTTAACAAAAAAAGTCGGCTTACCTTTTGTGAAGTTTCTTTCTGCTGTGTTTTAGTATCCTGCACTTCTAAAACAAATTTCATTGATAGATTACGTAATTAGTTCAACCAAATTTGATTCGGAAGTCCACTTAAACTCTCAGAACACGCGTCATCCATTTGCGATTCAAAAAAATCAGCTGATAAAAGCCGATAAGGGCTCCGACATGTAGCGCGATGAATAGAACCACATTCCTCCATACGATTTCTGTCTTGTAGGGAATCTGAAATGAATTGGACGTAATCTCTCAGTTTTGACTGCAGGTGAGGTCGTTCGCTTTTAATCACAGTGTAAGTCTCTGCTCTATAAATGAATATGACTCCTGAACCCTTCACCTTCACCAAATCGCAAATAAATCCTCCAGTTAGATTCCGAATTTCCTAAACTGCTTGACAAAATCTAGCTTTAAATGGTATTATGTGCTCTGCTAAGGCTGAAAGCCCTAAAATCTCATACCCTAAATAGATAGCATAGTGAAATTCCTTTAAATATAGCTGGAGCGCAGGGTTCAAACCCCAGCTTCCGTGCGACTCCAGCTACACGGTTCAGCACTGTCCATGACACCTCAAACATATGCACTCCTCGTGTCCCCCTCCAATACCGAGCACCGTTCCGGCCAAGCTTCTAGTGATTATTTATGCGCCGAATGGAAGTACCCGAGTCAGATTGACTCTTAACAGCTCACTTGCACAAGATGACTACTTGAATAATTAGACTTGTAGTGGAAGGGAGACGCTTTAGCACAACTCAAAGGAGGATTCCACCATAAGGACGGGGCAACTTACAGTGGAAGAAAAATGCATATGTACCTTCCTAACCAGGAACGGATGATTGGTCGAAGTGGCCATATGTAAAGAGACCTACACCGTTGGATGCGTTTTTGGACGCTGATCTCGAATCTGCTTTTCCAAATCTGCCAAACGATTTTTTCCGAATGGAGTTATGAAGGAAAGTAGTGCAGCGGTAGTAGTCCGGGTTCACGTGCGAGACGTCGTAGGATCGATTCCCTGGCGGGTTCTCTTTTTTGCCTTCGCTGCAAAATGATTGAAAAAGGCTCCCAACTACCTTACTCGATCAATGCTTGCCTGTAGTTACCCGTGCAAAGACTTTGCGAGGAGTTTCTAATCAGTTTCGGCGGTACTTACTAAAGACTGCACATGGAGCCCACAGAACTCTTGGCAGACGTTTTTGCAGCAAACAAGTGTGATATTCGTGTTCGGGAGATTAAAAATACCCCTAGGACAAGTTTGTAGCCAAATTTGAGATTTCGACCAATTTTCGAAATAAGCTGGGTATCTATCCATTCATCCTATCAGCCTATCATCGAAGCCTATATAGCCTTGAGACGATATAAGTTTTTTTTGGTTTCTGAAGAGTGTAAAGCAGTGTCTGTTTTCTGTTCGCATGATTTCAACACCCACACTTTATTATTTTCAAATTTAAAGGGTCGCCGTCGTCCAAAATAGGTCAACCCTGGAACTACCGGCTATGGATATGTAGCATCAATGAGTGACTCGCCCACTTTTTTTGAAGTTAATTCAAAATCTCGAATTTTTCTAGAAATCGGCCCCAGGAGTTATTGGACTACTTGAACACAGATCTCACATTCGTTTACTCAAAAACGGCTGAAGCGCGCTCCGTATACTGGCTCGCCTTAACCTTATGCAGTAGCATGCAAAGTTAGGAAAAATTCGAAGTTGTCGACCTCAAACACTCATTCAAAAAAGCAAGTGGGACCCAACCAATGATGAAGGAATCATGTTTCACTACTGCCAAACAGTCAGTCAGCAAAATCAAGGAAAAACACGCTTGTAAGTGTGGTGGTTGTTGTTGGTTTGTTAATTGCGTGAGTCGAGTGTCGAGGGATCCGAACCACTGACACCGAAATCCCAAGCCCACCGTCTTACCCACCAGGCCACCAGCACTTGCTCGTAAAGGCTCACTGCTTCGTTCGTGAGCCGCTGCTGCTGAGGCAGATTCCTCACTGTGTTAAACCGTGTGAGGAAACAAAAAACCTCCGTAACTCCCTTCAGCGAATCGTTTGGCAGATTTGGGAAGAAGATTCGAGATCAGCGTCCGAAACCACATACCATGATATTTGTCTCATTTCATATGGCCACTTCGACCCTTCATCCTTCCCTGGTAAGATTGCGGACGATGCGCGTTTCGCTATCGAAGGATATGCCCCGGCGACCTAGCATGGCCCTTCCCGCGGCGCTATCGACGCGGCACGCCCACCGACTGGCTGACCACTTTCCGCAGGTCTCTAGCGGTTAAACAGAGAGAGAGCGTTAGCGTTAAGAAGGCAGCAGGGACAAAAGCGAACTCCGTGAAACTCGCTAAGCATGCCGTAAGCTTGGAAAGAAAGAAACGACAGGCACGACCTCGCGTTAGAATGGCAGGAATTTAGTGACAGGGAAAACTGCCACTCAGCTTAATTCTGGACTGGTTACCAAATACGTAAGATCTATGCCAACAAATTGCCTTCCCCCCCCCCGCAGAAGTTTATTCAAAGGCATAGTCCGTTTTAATGCTACTTGTTATCAATGCGAGACGCTTACTATCAAGCATGGCTGCAAACGCTTGTGGTCTTTGACCAGTTCAACGACGAAGCGGCTTTTGCATCATATGAACTGTCACATCGCACGGTTGCAGGCATCGCTGACGTCGCAGCTCTTATCGCCGCCTAATTTAACAGCCTTTTTCGCCCGGATGCGCTTTGTTTTTCACGTGACGGTGAACAATGATAACGCGAAGCGTGGTTGGGGGACAATCATCTTTGATTCATCGAAAACGCTCAACTGCTGCGCTACAGAAAAGGTTCTATGGAAAAGAATGAGATTTCTAAAGAACTTTTTGCGAGACGTTGTCTCACTCTGGATGCTTGGTAGGAGAGGAAGAGAAAACATCGAGGAAGTTGTACACTCAAGCTCAACTCCCGTACCATTGTGCAAGCAGTTCCTTTCACGAGCTTCAACCCCACATGGCATCACTCACCTCATTCAAAATTTGTTGGGGGAAAAGGGCCCTTTGCATAAATTTTGGCAAAACAGTAAACAAAGCCCCATCCCTGGTTGCGCCCTCTTCCTTCAAGCCCTCTAACAATGTCCGCACCCTGCCTACCTTGTTCGGTAAATATGCAAAAAACTAAATTGGTATGAGAAATTATGGCTTTCGCCATTCTGTTCCGTGGCAAGCATCATCTAGGAGATCTCCGGCTTCCCCTCCGCCTTTCCCTCCCACCGACAAACTATTTGATAGGCACGGAGAGGCTCCATTGCTACGGGAGGGAAAAACATAAGGACAACTCTAGGACCTTCTCATCAAAGTGGCAATGTCAGAGTGATGCACTAGCTGGAGTATTTGTCGCAAACCTACTCCAAACTCGTATGATTACACTTGCGTACTAAGTTGACCATAAGTGGTGCAGCGTGGGCGTACCAAAGTGCCCCACGTCTGGATTGTTTGTAGTTTTTGGAAGGGAAAATGATTTGGAACTTTTTTTCATCCTGATTCATTCTCTGATTGAGGCAATTGATCCAAAAAGGATTTACAAAGGCAAAACAGCGAAAAGGATGTCAGAAAGCTTACCTTTTCACCCTCTTTGAGCAGTTTTTCGACCTCGTCAAGTTCAGCGGCCAGGAACTGATCGGAAATCAGTTTGTCCACCTGCGGCTTTCTTGACTGCGGGGTAACGATTGTCATTACCTGAAAAAATGTTAAGTTATATTTACCACTGGTCCCATTTGTTCTCGACAGGTACGAAGCTACGGAATCGGTTCCGGGCTCTATTCGTATTTGGCTAAAGGAGAAGCAGAACGTGTGGCTGGCCAAGTCTTCCGCTTCAAGCAAGATAGTACGAGTTTATTTGACTTAGCAGTACACGAGGTCAAGCAACATAAATATTAATAACCAGACCCATTTTTATGCTCCTGTCGAATGGGAGTTCAAAAAGTAGTGAAAAATGGAGATAGAGAGCTCAAATAAAGAATAGAAGCATTGGCTATGTTAAGATTTTCTCTCAGAAACATGTGGAAATCTGAAAACATGAGGAGCAGAACTCGATTGGAATCAAGTTGAAACTTTTGTAAGAAACGAAAACGAAATGGAAGAAGTGAACTGAGAGCTGGCGATACCTTTCGATCACAGGTCAAGATCTTTCATCTAATTATCAATTCCACTCAGAAGCTCCGCCTTCGTCTGATAGTGGAAAGGTGGCGATGGTGCCCTTGTTTGGAATTAAACGTGTGACTCTTGCGGTTACGCAAACAAAATCTACCAATGAACATTGGCCTAAAAGACCCCGAATGAAATGTCCAATTGATCAAAGGTCACCTTCGTTGCCAGCAATAGAGTGTAGTTGTGGAAGCGCAACCTAGCAGTCTTTTGGATTGAACTGAAGCAAAAAAGCGGTTGTACCCATGCTGACGTCAGTCGCTCATTTTTATAACCCAGCTTGCAAAGCAAAATAAGTGATTGGTTTGTGACCATAGAAAGTAATCTCAATCTGTTGTTTCGCGGAAATCGCCCTTGTTTTCATCCACCATGTTACTCTTCCTTCCAATGTTCTTATCATTCCCTAGCCTAACCTGGAAATGGATCACGACTTTTTTGTACATGTGATTATCACTTATGAATCGATAAAAGCCAAGGGTCGAGCATGTCGCTCAACTCGGTGGGAACAGCTGGACGTCGCGAGAAACGGAATAGTTTCAAAAGAATGCTGGGTTGTGAACAAAACTTTCGCCCCAGGCGAGAAAAGCTGAGTTGGGATGAAATGGTGCCCCGGTAGCGTAACTGGTAGCGCACTTGCCCGGAAAGCGAGAGGTGCGGGTTCTAGTCCCGCCTGGGGCGAAAGTTTTGTTCACAACCCAGCATTCTTGTGAAACATTGCAATGAACCGAGGTGAGGATAGAAACAGCTACTGCG